TTTTTCCTTTCATTTGTTTTTTTCCATAAAGATGATGATGATGATGATTATGATTTATATAAAGCTGGAATTGCATGAATTATTACTATTTATTATTATTATTATTATTATCATCATTATTATTACTATTATTGATTATTATTATTATTATTATTATTCGCCGCAATAAATGAATATTCTATGCAAAATGGAAGCTGACCTGAGCAACAGAGATTTGTAACCAGAAGTATTAAAATATGTTGCTATTTTTTCCACTAGGGCCCGATGGTATTCCATGGAGATGGCAGGAATCGTGTGTTACACTGGTGCCAACATTATCACACAAGCAAGGGAGATTGTAGAACAAATAGGGTGGGTATTAGATACACTTGCTTTCGCTGTTTTATTGCATTGTCGCAAAGCTATGGCTCTGTTTCAAAATAACGACACGGTTCCATGTGCATGAAAAATGGTAGGAAATGATACAGAAGCGTTTACACGAAAACAGAATGACCTATTCTTATTTTCAGGCCACCATTTTCAAAACGGAGTCCTTCTAAACGATAAAAATAGCAAGGTTTTCGTAACAGGATCGTCTTTTTTAAAACTTAACGGTTTGATTACATATTTAATCGTTGTCGTCATCATCATCATCAGTTCCACCTTTTGAATCAGTAGTATCCTCGGGGTAATCCTGTATGGAAACCCATGTCCAGCAGTCGCCTTAAGTCTGATTTCGACATCGTGCGTCTCATCTGTTGAGAATCTAGTCCTAGTAGATTCTCAAAAATCTCGTTCACATCACTCTACTAGATTGAATGTCAAACAGAGTCTGCTTCAGCTGTTTATCATGTTCGTCGCGTAAACGCTAGGCGTAACTGAGTAGAAAATGACACGGTTACAAATGAAACCGGGTCTATTTAAACGGTGCCAAATTACCCCGTTCCCTCAGAGGGGGGCGACAATATTAAGAAATTGTGGGTACAAGGGTTAAAAATTATTTAATGCCCTAAAATCGTTTTCATCGGTTCTCTCTAGCTTTACATCTTTATGATTGCTATTGGCGTTCTTTAACAGATATATACACTGAATCGAAATTTGGCGACCAACTATTGTTCTGCACCGACTAGCGACTGACTAGTAAACTCTTTTAACGGTTTACACGTGAACACGAGGCTAGTCAGTCGCTAGTCAATGCAGAACAATAGATCGTTTCTCAAGTTTGCGTGCGCATCCAAATTGACGGGCCACAAAATTGAGAAGACAGTTTTATATTCAAAGAGGAGAATAATCGATTTTATTTAATTCATAGCAATGCATGATAATACTCGTGTTCTGGTATCGTGGCCCGTCAAGTTCCTTAAATTTGGATGCGCACCCAACCTTGAGAAAACGGCCTATAGTTATTCAAATTGGTCACCATATTTCGATTCTATGTATAATGCAGGAGAAACAAACGTTAGAGGAAGGAAACTGAGGGGAACTTTCTTTTCCATAGTTTTCCTTTATTCCAATACAGGTACTCCCATTTCGAGTTCGCCTTTTCTCAGTCTTAGCCTCGATTATGTACAAATGTGTTCTTTTCTTTTATTAAAGTCCATTGTATAGTAAGGAATGTACGCACTACGGAACAAAACTAGTTGATTAAAATGCCACGGGTTTTGGTTTAATAGCTGGATATTTTAACGCACAACCGAGTCTAAGGCTGAGCAAAGAGAACTAGAAACTGGAGTATTACTAGCACGCCAGGATAAAATTGAAGGACAATTGTCTTAGTATCTTTACTCCTTTTAGGCGTCCTCTTGAGTTGGATACTGATGGTATATGGTGTATTTTACCAGCGAGTTTCCCAGAGAACTACCAGGTACGTGTTGACATGCAGTTGACATTTAACCCTTTAAATTTAGTTTTTGCATGAGCAAACTCAATGTAAATCAAGATCATCTCATATCTTTGTTATTTTTAGGTTAAGACGACTAATCCAAAGAAGAGCAAAGTCACCGTTTCTTATCCTGGTGCCATGCTAAATATCATGGTTAAGGTCAGACGCATGACGCCATTAATATAACTCGGCTCTGGTTTTTTTTTTGTTTTTGTTTTTGTTTTGTTTTGTTTCGTTTTGTTTTGTTTCGTTTT